TATGCTTAATTATGGTGATATGAGCTAGTAGTTTTAGTACGACTTTTATCCGTTTTAGTTTTGTTTTCAGCATGTTAGTTTGTTGCCGTCTTGGGATTAGTTCTTAGATGTCATTATGATATCTTTAATTGTATTGTTGAAGTTTACCTAATGAAGTTTCTATTTGATCAAAATAATAATATTAATAAAACATAAAAATTTGGTAACTGGGCATGATTAAGGCAGTCCAATTGAGATTCTCACCTCTTATCAAACGATAAAGAGATCCATTGCATTAAAAATCTAAGGTTTTTTAGGTTTTAGACATAAAAAAAATTTCACTTTTGGAAAAAGCCAAAGCTTTTTCAAAAAAGACAAAAAAACCACTCAACTTTCAAATCAAAGACATGCAAATGTATTGGATTCCTTAGGAAATCTAAAAATAAATAACGGCATTTTTGTCCATTTTTGCTTCTTTTAAAATTTTTCTCTCTCTTTTTGCTTTTTCCAAAATGTCCCTAAAATCTATTAAAATCACAATTAAATACACCCTCCAAAATATGATAAGGGTTTTAAGTTGGGTAATGCCTCTGGATTGCCCAAGGCGGTTGAGAAGCCTTTCATCCACCATAATTTGGCCCATTGCATGTATTGAAGGGTTGATCTAAGTGGGCTTTGAATGCACCCATTAATTTGACCATTACCCCTAATGGATCTGCTTTCCTCAGTTTTCACTCTTGCAGATGCGCAATGTTGCCTTTCAACTGCCTTGTTTTGCAGAGAAGGCTATATCAGTTCCAAAAGATGCCACGAACATCGTCTAGAATGGCGCTAGGAAATCAAGGATAGCTTATGTATATCGTCTGTGATGCAGGCGCATCTGCCGTGCAAAGTGAAGGAAAACCCACAAGGACATCTAATTCCCCCAAGTTATAGCATATTATTATTATGGGAATATTTTTGCGAGTGCTGCTAAACGAACTCTAAAATTAACTGAATACACCCTACTATAAAAGTATATATTGAATTACTGATTTACCCTAATATAAAATGACCAAAAAGAATATATGGAATTATGAAACAAATATAATTTTAATAAGTACACTCTACTAACTATATAAAGTGATTGCAAGAACTTGGAATTGCAAGAAAAGTGTCAACAGTTTTAGTAGAAGCATAAATCCATACGAAAAGTCAAAGATTTATAAACACTATTAAAAAAATCAAGCTGAAAATCAACTATAAAATAATGTTACAAGTATAGATGCTATCTCTCTTTATAGCTATAGATGCAATGGATTCAACAAAGTTTTTTGTTTCTACAGGATCAAGGTCAATTGTGGCCAATTTTTCCCCACAGCATTTGCACAAGCCATCAGCTCCAATAGTTGTACGCAACACAAACCATTTCCTTTTCCCAACCAGCCCTGCCCATGCCAGCCCCCACCTCCATTCTCAATTGCCTCCCTTATCAATCTTGGATCCCATTTTATTTGTCCCACTCTTTCAGCTTCTTTGTTATGAAACCAGTTCATAATTAAATTGGCAGTAGACGGTGAGACCATCCTTACACTTGTTCTTAGTTTGTGCAGCATATAATACACCCTGTCACCTTTACCGACTCCCACACTCACTCGTAAGAGGGCCTCTAGTTTCAGGCTCTTCTGGATAGACACCATCCAACATGTGTTTCTCAACAGCAAATGCTTTATCAATATCTCCACTACGGCAAAAATAATGCTACAAGTATTAGAGTGTACCAGGAGTATTTTTGGTAGTTCTATATGGTGTACTTAATTAATTTTACATTTTAATTAAAATATTAGAGTGTACTTAGATCATAGTGTGTACTCAGTTAATTTTAGGGTTCGTTTAACAGCACTCTATTTTTGCTCACCCACATTAACCATAGGTGTATGATCATAACCACCGTTGAAAGGTGACATCTGTCCGGTGGTTAATCTTATGGCTTGTTTGGGACTACTTCTCTAGGAAACACTTATACTTATAAGCGTTTTTATCATAAAGATGTTGAAATTTTCATAAGAAATTGAAGTGCTTATTGGAAAAGCACTTGGGAGTGCTTCTTGAATAAGTACATGGCAGGTGCTTCTCTAGAAAGCGCTTCTATAGCCCAAAAGCGCTTCTAAACTTTTCTGTTAAATGCTGTCAGAAGCGCTTTTGGTTTTCAAAAAGCGCTTTTAACTGTTTCAGAATCACTTTCAAACGGGCCTTTAGTTAGCTTTTATGTCGGAATTAAAAATTAAAAATTAAAAAGGGGACTTTTACACTTTTCTTTTCTTTTTTTTCTTTTCTTTCTTTTCTCCCCCTCCCCCTCCCTCTCTATCCTCTTCCCAGCATCTCTCTCCCTCGCTCACATTCTTTGCATTAATTGTCCGTTTATAATGGGGTTGATTTGCATATTTAATTGTTTTATGGGTCATGCTGGCAAAAATATTTCCCCGAAAAAAAAAAACAAAACATTTGGATCATATTCATATGTTCTTATATTCAATATACCTATTTTTTAATATAGAAATAATGAAAAATAGGTATCTTATTTTTTAAATATGTTTATAATTTATAAAAAAAAGTGTACAAATTTTCTATTACAAAGTAACATGTACCTCATTTATCCGAGCTAGGTACATTATTTTGTAAATATATTTTTAATTTATAAAATGTGTACATAAGTTTCTATTACAAAGTATTTTGTTATAGTACTTTTGCCTCACCAGAACTTGTTGTCTTTGAATCTTCCGGATTGAAGTATCATGTAAAGATGTCCTATCAGCAATCTTAGCCTTCTGCGAATTTCTCCACACCTTAGGCCCAAGTCCCTTCGCATTATTAGCAACAAAGCTAGATCGAATATGGTTATGCACATGCTCTGTATTGGCATCCCTTTCATTCCTTCCAAAATTCTCATCAACTTGTCGCAGGGTGTCAAATCTAGAACCGTTGGCTTTAGAAGTAGAGCCTTTCCCATTTGCATCCTTACCATCATTTCTAGGTTTTCTTCTAGGGGTAACATCCATCCAAGGCCCTTTGAGAGAGTCAGTACCAGAATTATCATTCACTTCAGGAGCAACAATATCATTATTCTGTTTATTCATCCCATTGTCATCCTTCATAGGGTTAGCTTCCTTCCCCATATTCGTTTTACCAGGCATAACCCCACATGGTTGTCCCTTCATCTCACACCTTTCCCTTTCGTGGCCATACCTCTCATAGAGAGAGCAGATTCACAAAAGCATCCAAAGGTTTAGTCAATTGTGTCCTACTGTTTGCAATCGTGACCTACTCTGTGCATGATTTGATCATATTGTTCAGCTGACAGTCCTGGAGCAATGGATTGAAGTTGTTCCATTGTCGGAGTTGTGGTGGTGTGATGAAGCTAAAGAAAAAGAAGAATGACAGAAACCCTAGGTATCACCCAAGGACTCTGATACCACTATTGAATGAAAAAGAATGATTAAAACACGAGCCAGTGCCCGACTATATATGGTTTACAACACTTGGGCAGCAAGGCTAACTCTTACAATAATCAAGGATCCCTCATAAACCGGGACTACAAAATAGGGAGGAAATAAAACAATACCAATTACATGTATTGCACAGCATTCTAATAGAAAGTGGTGATCACCTGTCTTACTGATAGTCGACACAGAAGCAACTGGAGAATCCTACCTATTATATTGGAAATCAGACGACTTGCTCCCTTCCTGGTTCTCTTCTGTGGCATTAAATGGGAGTTGGTCCCTCGTCTGGAAAACCAAGCTGCTCATGCTGCTGCAGCCATGTCAAATGAGGTGCGATCACTGCGATGGGCTACTCAGCCTCTTCCCTCATTGGTCTTGGTTTTGGCTAGGGATGGTCTTCGATGTCCCCCCCATTTCTTAATTTTGGTGGAGCCTGGGTCACTGTGCAGGCTCTGTATTTAGTTATGATCTTTTGTATCTGTAGGTGTCGTTTTTCTTTTCCTCCTGGGTTGTTTGTTTGGCTTCCCGGTGAGTGCTCTGTATTGATGCAGGTTGGGACTCCCGTCTCTGTTTGCCTCTCTTTTGGCTTTGGCCTTTTATGAAATCTACTATTCAAACCCAAAAAAATAATAATCATCAAGTCTCCAACGAGATATGTATACACCGTAACAGCACATTAGCAGCAACACATGCATTGTCAGCCAAAGTTTAGTCAAATTGGGCGGTGCTTCGAAGTGAGGAAGACAATCTTGGGTTAACCCCTGGACCAATACAAAATCAAGAATGTAAAGGCTCTGAAAGGAATGAAACCAAACTTGAACCTTCTCTAATTTTCCAGTTAGCAGAAGTGATGCAACTAAAGTCGTCTTGCCCAAATCTCCCATTCCAGCTATTGAAATTATAGTTTTTGAAGCTGTGCAGACAACAATCATCCAACTAACTTCTCTTTGGCATCTACGATGCCAGCGAGATTATCGTCTTCAAGGAAAAGAGACTCCCATCATAACGGGAAGTATTCATGCCTTGTTCAACAAGATAACCTTGTTTTCTTTATGGAATGTCTTCGATTGTTTTGATGATCTTCAGCAATCAGGTTGAAATTCGATGCCTCTCCCAAAGATTCTTGGGGGAAACACATAGCTTGACCGAGAATTCTTGTGCATGGACCCCCAACTCATTTGCTCGTCTCTAAATTCAACAATTTGATCATAACTCCTAACAATGAGACTTGGTTTTCAAGAAATTATACTACTTTCCCAATCAAAAGGTCTGTTGCAGCTGAAGCCATCTCCACTTCTTAATTTTCTTTACTCTGTATCCAATTGCCAATTCAAATAACCAAATAAAAAGTGCAGAATTGCCATTTTGTGCCATGTACATTCTTCCTTTAACAAACATGTCTTCAGATCCACCAAAATGAAATTTATTAGTTCACCTAATTTCATCTGTAAGGCTATAAGTCAACCATATTGAAGGGGGAAAAAGACAAAAAACATTGAAAAGCTATCATGTTTTGAAGATAACCGAAAGAAATGGGGAACACAAACATTTTATTAAAATGCTATACATGAAAGTACAACCATAGTGTACAAGGAAGCCCACTGGAGTTTGGAACACATACAAATAACCAACCAGCAACTATGAACATCAAAATACATTGCAAAAGAATCTCACATAAAATGCAAAAGAAACTAACCTAAACAAGAGAAAACTCAAAAGATAACCACCTTCTAATATGCCTCTATAAGAAAAATTGGTACATCTCTGATGAAAAGCCCACAATGATTAAAAGCAACCAAGACTTAGCAATGGCAATGGCGTCCTCTGCAAGCGTAGCAGTTGGTGGAAGGGGAAGAGGAGGTCGTATACAGTTGCTTCCATTTGCAGCCTTCTTCGACCACCTTGCTTAGCGCAAGCACCAAGCAAGTAACCCCCCCTCTCTTCTTCTCTTCAATGATGCCCAAAAGAAAATGACATCACATAACCCCTTCACTTCATCCACATTAAAGTTTTCAAAAATCCTCTGGTTTTGTTCCATCCATACTAGATACGCATGCAATAGTCATTAGACAACTATTACATATTATTTCTGCTCCTTTTCCCCCTCCAAAAGCAACTATCATAGAATATGCAAAATTGGGGAGTCACACATATCACATTTGCTTCCGAAAACAGTTTGTGGCAAAGCTTTAGAGTAACAGGGCAATGAAGAAAGATAAGTCTATACTTTCAGCTCCCATTCAGCACATGGCCCACCAATATAGAGATATACCCCGAGGATAATGTCGCAATACTGACTCTACAATGAGCATAATCTATCCCAAAACTTGTGCCGTATGTTACACTTGTGCTTTCCAAATCATCTGAAGAGGATCAAAAATGGGAGGAGATGATTCGTTAATTAACTGCTAAAAAACGGTTTACACAAAAAACACATGGAATGACTCAAGTTATTATAACTTTTATCAATCTCCTCAATTCTAAGGACATATTTTTCGGTGGTTGTAACGAAGAAAGCTCCATAACCTCCAAATCATTCAAGTTTGTGCAGAAATTATAATTCCAACTTATAGCAAAAGAAGAATCAACGGACATATTGGCAATTGGAATGCTATATAGGTGACTTGAAAAAATTATGAAAAACATGGATAAAAGGAACATACAGAAGACTTCCCCATCCACAACTCCTCTAGAACCTAATGTCCACCCCATTTCCCAACATTAACCAAAGTTAGGGATAAAAGAATTAATAACTAATGTAGGACAAAATATGGGTCAATTATGGTGTGAAAAATTAATTAAAATAAAGTGGCTCCAAGTTGGCAGGAAATCGTGCAAGAGAGAAAAGTTCCGATTAGATGTCAAATTTGGCGATAGGAAAAGAGGAAGGCCTATTGTTGAGATTTTCAAATTGATTGAGGAAGATTGAAGCAATTATGGACTCTGTCAAGATTTATATTTACTTTAATGTTTTATTTTATATTTTTAAGAATAAGTTATCTATTAGAAGTTATCTATTAGGATATTATTTTCCTAATATATGATTTTAGTTAGGATTTTTATTATTTTCTTATTAGCCAAGTTTATGAATATTCTGGAACCTAGGGTTTCCTAAGGTTTTCTATTTAAACTAACTCATGGCGTTATATTGTGACAGTTCAGTTTATTATCAATCAAATACCTTTGAGTTTTACTCAATCTTTTGGTGGATTCCAACACTGTTACTTTAGGGTTATCGTTCAATCTCCCTATTCCCCTATATCTCGCTGTGTCAATATCCTATGATGTCTTTCCAAGGACATCTACTCAAGCCTCTAATCACAATATCAGAGTCGCACCCATTAACATTTAGTCTGAATTTGCGTTTATGGTTATATTTTTCTCCCAATCACATTCAGCAGAGATTAGTAATAAAAGTAGACACAACTTTCTAGAGAATTAGAGAGAGGAGGATAAGAAGTTATGATTACCTACAATATAGCTGGCCAAAAGCTATCATCATTTGTCCGAGTTTTGACCATCTTTGAAGTCTGCATTGTTTATATTTGAAGGTTTATTCTTCAATATAATTAACATACTAGCATCCAATCAACCTTGTGCCTTCAAAATGCAACGGTTTAATGAGATGTATCCCATAATCAATAAGCCATAGTAAAAGCAGAAATTATTTCATTAAAAATAAGACATAGTAAAAGCAGAATTAAAGTCGGTCCTTTCAGAGAACACTAGCTAGCATATTAGTAAAGTCTCTGGCATCGTACCAAGAATTGGAATAGAATCCCGCCTTAACTGAGGTTAGGGAATTTTTATGAAATGAAAGAGAGCCTCTCGTCATCCAGCCCATATCAGATTTTGATCGTCTAGACTCTTGAATGTTAACGACAATAACTTAGAATCTAGCTGCTAAGTTCTTTAAAAATTATATTTAAACAAATAATAAGTAAAATAAAAAATCCTAGCTGCTGAATTGATGAATCCCTCAACCATTGAAGTTACAAACGTAGGTATAGAAGAATCCTCTAAAAATGCAACACATGAGCTGAGTTAGCACAACTCTAAGTAGAATTCTTTTTATGCCTTCCTTATGTGAGGATTGACTAGAGAAAACAAAGTAACTTCATCAATAGTTAAATACAAAATTAGAAGGGAGATAACATAGAAACTCATAGAATGGGGAAGGCATTTTAAGATACCTGAATTTTCCGTGTTGGTAATCATCCTTTTCTGTAAGTCCTCAGCAGCCTCAGTCATGCCTCGTGCATTGTAGGCTTGGATCATGGTAGCAAAGGTGATATGGTCAGGCAGACATTTTTTTTCTTTCATTGCCAAAAACAATTCGCTCACCTTTCTTACATCACCAGCCCGACCATAAGCACTAATAATACAGTTGAAGAAAGGCGTATCCAGTGTAACATCCGAATTCTCTACTTGCCTCAAAATGGAATCAACTTTACTCATATGCCCAGCTTTGCTATACGCACTAACAAGAGAACAATAGGTGATAGAGTTAGGCTTTATTCCTTGATACTTCATTTTTCTGAAGTATTCATCCATCTTCTCAACATTTCCAGCTTTCCCAAATACCTCAATTACAATATTATAAGTAACAACAGTTGGGGAGAAAAACCTTTTCTTCATAAACTCCATAACAGACCCCATCTTTTCGTACATTGTTGCTTTCCCATATGATTTAATCAGGATATTAAATGTCTTAGGGTCTGGCCTTATTCCCATCAGCTGAAATTCATCATACCACTTCTCCATCTTCTCTATGTGTCCACATTTGCCATAAGCCCCAAGAAAAGAATTTAATGTGAAAACATCAGGAAGGCAGCTGCCACTTTCAATCATGTCTGTCAATGAGTCCTCCATCAGTTCAAACATTTCAGCCTTACCATAGCCATCAATTAGAGTATTGTATATGACTGTGTTGCATCCAATCCCCAGATATGACATCTCAGCCAGAACTTCTTCAATCAGATCAGGACGATTGAATTTGGTGCAGGAATTAATAAGAATAGAAAATGTATATACATCTGGTTTGCAGTCAGAAACTGACTTCATATCATCGACAGTAGAGAACGCCTTGTCAAGGAGGCCACTTTTTCCATAAACACTAACAAGAGCAGTGTAGACGTCAACAGTAGGTGTTAGCCCATCACTTAACATGAGTTCGAAAAGCAAGCTGGCCTGCTCAGGTTGCCTGCACTTGCCAAGCATCATCAGCAGCTTAGTGTATGTTTGGCATCTCGGCTCATACCAGTGTTGCTTACGTAGTAGTCCAAAAATCTAAAGAAAGGAAGAGTTGTTTTATATCAGAAAAAATTTTATGATGGAACAAAAGGGAGAAATGAAGACTCAAAGAAATCCAGTGGCATATGGTTGGCATTCCAAACCAGGATGCTACAAATAGCACTTAAATTTTTTGTAGAGAATTATTTTGAAATGACCAAGGATTTTAGAATCTAACCATTTGCACAATTAATCAAAATGAAATTGTTGCTTCTTTGATAGAACAGCAATTTCAATTAAGCAAACTCTTCTTACATAAGATCACCAATTGAGAAATTTAACATGTAACAGACCCAGAAGCCTTAGTTCATAAACAATAAATTTCTGCAAACCTAAAGAGTTCACGTCTCCCCAACCCAGAAAGCCTCAAGCCACAACTAATCCTATTTCCACTGAATTAAAGCCGTCAACTTTTCATTTCAGCGAGGTTGTCCAACTTAATATCTCAAAATTTTCAAACTTATAATCTCATTATTAATTCCCCACTATTTCTAACAAAACAATAAAAAAGTAAAAATTAAAAAACAAACAGAGGCTGAACATAACTCCACAAACCCAGAAACCAAACAACCAAAAATCCAACATACTGATAAGACAAAACTCATACCCAAAACACACAGAAGAAAAGAAAAAAGACCCACAAACCTTAAGAGCACTCTCCCACAGATTGTTTGCAATAGCTTCATCCAGAGCCTCCAAAACAGCCTTGGGCCAAAGGTTATTGTACTTGTTGGAATTTGCTTTCTTCTCAATGTTTCTAACAGCAGCGTCTGTTCTCAGAAGTCGAGAAAGCTCCTTTTTGGCCTTCAAAGACGGGTTGGAGCTCCGTTTCGATAAATGAAGACAATGGATTGTTGGGTTTCGTTTATGGGCATGTTCACCGCAGAGTGTTATCGAATATGTGGCAGAGGTTAAGGAGGTTGAGGTTGAAGAGCGCAGGTTAGTGGGGTGAAGGAGGTGTGGCTCCATTATGCCGGTGGTCGTTGACAGTTCAGAGACTAGATGGCTTGGGGTTCAGTTCAGAGGACGACGGTGAGAAGCGCAAGCTAGAAGGGTCAAGTGGGTTGTGATAAAATGCGCCTGAGTGTTGTTTTCCTTTTTGCGTCTGAGTCTAAAATGCGCCTGAGTTTGGGATGCAAATGAGTTGAAATTACACAAGGTCCTCATTTCCTCATAGTTTTTGGACCACGCATATAACCTTATCTTTGGGCTAAGCAAGCCCAGTAAGCAAGCCCAGTTCTGCTTTTTTATTTTTAATACAAGCTATAATCTTTTTTGTGTGGAACAAATGTACAAATGATCGTCTAAACTACACTAAAGTCATGTTGAAGGAGATGAGAAAAAAAGGGGACGTTGGGGGAGTGGGTAAGGATTGAGATTTTGAGAAATGCATATGATGCACAATTTTAGCATCCTTTTGAAAACATTGGTTAGGATTTAAAAGTTGGTAGTTTTTCTTTCATCAACAACCGTAATTCATAATTTAAATCCAGAAAATTTCTAATAAAGTGAAGACTATATGCCACTAGATTAAAACGTTAAGAGGAAGAGACGGAGATAAAAGGGGGAGTATATATGAACTTCATATGAACTTCATTCTTGGTTTTTGTTTTTTTATTCCTTGAGAAACAATTTAGTGGACTATATTTATTGATATAGTGGGTCTATTATTTTGGTGTCAAAAAAATTGATATATTAGATTGATCTAGGATGGTAGGGCAGGTTAGGAATTGGGTATGGCAATATCATCCCTGATAAGAGCATCCACAGTGGGGGGTGTATTTTCGGGGGTGTAAAACCACTTTTACATCCCTTTTACACCTCCGATGGGTGTAAATACATTTTTTGCTCCAATGGGAAACGATGTAAATCTAAGATGTATAATTTTTCATCTATTTTCTTGGGTGGGTCCGCCGGCAAAAGATGTAAAAATATATGCAAATGTGCATTTTATTTTAGATTTCCATGGTGGTGATGTATGTTTACAACCCCTTACATTTCCCCATTGGAGATGATTCCAGTGATAATGGGTGTATATTTAACATACACCCCCTTATACACCCTTCCATTGTGGATGCTCTAAGAATTTTTGGGGAAATCTCCTGTCCTCGCTCCTGTCAGGGGGTTGTCTCCCAAACTCGCCCCGAATTCCCAATTTTTTTATTTAAAAAATATATTTATCTTACATTATAACACTTAATTTCACTTTAAACTATCAATTAACTTAGTTATATTCAATTGAAACATAAATTCAACCAAACTAATGAAAATCATCTCAATTTCATTTGAAAAAAACTTCATATTATCAACTATCATGTAACTTTTTGTTTGTTCTATTACATTATTATATAATTATTAAGTAAAAATAAATATATCACTTGTCGGACCGGGTTCGGAGATAGGATAACAATACAATCCCCGGCCCATACTGAATTGGAGATTTTTAAAATTTGGAGATCCCCGCCCCCAACATCTTTCCCCGGAGGGGACCTCTCCCAGCGGGGATTTTTGGCATCCATAGGTTGACTCTCTTAAAAGTTAATTGATACTTTTACCATTCGTTTACTCTCCCAGCGGGGATTTTCGGCATCCATAAATTTTTAAAAGTATACTTTTACCATTCATTTACACATAATCAGAAATACAGAATTACAAGGCTATTTCCTTTCTTACGTTCTCTCTTCCTTATTCTCTTGAAATCCCTAAATCTCATCCTCTTCTTCTTGTTAAGAGACCCAACAATTTTGCTGAAGAATAGCTTGCATGACACAAGTCCATGGAACAGGGGAAAAAAACACACACAATAAAATTAGTGTAACTAATCATGAGCCATTATTTTCCTTTTATTGATTTTTCGCTTATTGGAATGTTTGAATTCTTCTCCTATCATATGACCAAGTTTAGAAAGCAGCAGTGAAGAGAGAGAAATGCAATGAACCGAGTTTGGCAATTGGCAAATACTTGAACAGAAAACAGAGACTGCCAGGTTCCAATTTTATTTTCTGGCATGAACCATCAAAGTCATTACTAATTGTGTGATAGATGGAGCCCTCTTTCGGATTATTCATGAGTGAAATTATCATTTTCGATCAAAAAGAAATTAAACCAAAATTTGTAGCTAAACCTCATCGACTCACAAAATTGTCATATTTCTGTCATTTGTTAATATCTTAATCCCTATAATCCAAGAGATTTGTGATCACTCACCCTTAGATCTAATCTAAGGATTTAGAAAAAAACTAGTTTAATTTTTATTTTTTACTTTTATTGAATGACATATTAATTTAACTTGAACAAAAAAAATTTATAAAAAAAGGGTCTCACACTAAAACACTTTCTAACCCCAAAATTTTTGAAAGTGTTCTTCGGTAACATCCCACGTCGACCAACGGAGAGAGGGTGATGTACTTATATGTACATACCCACCTCCATTTAGCACGAGAACTTTTGAGAGCTCACTGGCTTCGGAGTCATGGGAACTCCAAAGTTAAGCAAGTTTGGGCTAGAGCAATCCCAGGATGGGTGACCCATTGGGAAGTTAAGCGAGTTTGAGCTTGTGAGTTCCCGGAAACAAAACCGTGAGGGCAGAGAGGGGGGCCCAAAGCGGACAATATCGTGCTATCTGTGACATCTTCTTCCCCATGATTCGCAGTTGCAGCACTTCCGAATCTAGCGTCGCGAGCGAAAATCTAAAGTCACTCAATCCCTCGCATTTCAACGTGATTAAACTTTGAGGCTCCCACAACCAAGCTCAGGTTCTTGCTCCTTTTCACTTTTGCACTCAATTTTCTTATTTGAAATCGTAAATCTGAGTGGTTCATGAACTCATATTTGAGAAATTTTCATTTTTATTTATTTCGGAACTGCATGAATTATTCCCAGTACACATCTCCTCTCGTTGGAACTATATTCCGTCGATCCCATACTCTGCAAGTGTGTGATTTTTGTCGACTACCATGTGCATATGCATCAATTATCAATACAAAACAAATCACTAAATTTATATTTGAATGCAAAGGCATAATCTGAAAAAAAAAATTCCGCTGACCTGAATTTTTTTTTCTTTGCAGAATGGCACTGAGTGTAACCATAAGTCGATTCATGCAAAACAAATCTGTTTGAAATTTTCTACAATTGTTTTTCCTTCTCTTTGACTGATTAATATGATTTTCATAAATCTTTTTTTTTTTTGTCAAACATTAATTTTAATCTCGGGTTATTGCAACTATGTTGTTTTTCATTGATAACATGTTGAGCAAGAAACAATCTTGAGATTTTGAAGTTTTAGAATGTGTTTTAGGGTGAGGTTTTTTTGTTTTTTTGTTTTGTTTTTGGTATTCAAGTAAAATTAATATGTCATTCAGTAAAAGTAAAAGAAAATTTAAACTAGTTTTTTTTCTAAACTCTTAAATTAGATTCAAAGGTGGGTGACCACAAGAGTCCAAGAGAACGAGACTGATGATATAGGTGAATTAAAAAATTTGCAAGTATTGTGTAGTCGATCCACTTGTTCTCACAAAAAGATGTCACTAATAAAGGTGTGTGGTGACTCCATTTGTTCACACCGAAGGGTGTTCCTAGAGTGGACGATGAGAAACTCAAACTCGGATCGTGAATATAGGGGCAAATGCTATGTACATAGAACTCTCCACGTAAAAAATAATAATAATAAATAGAAACTAATTAAAATTGTTGTTTGGACCTAAACTGAAAAAAGCCCATTTAGGGATGTTTTTAATCAAAATGGGCCTTCAGCTGTTTGAAATTAGTACATTGAAATGCTTAGAAGCGTAGGCCCAATATTTCTAACTCTCTAAAATAAATTCGTTGTTTACATTTTAAAATTGCTTTTATCAGGTTAATGGAGTGATTATCCAAGTTGAAACTCAAAGTTGAATTCGACAATTGCGGAAAATCAAACGTGTTGGCGTTACTTTCCTTACACGCCAAAAATTCCTATATTAAATGTAATTGTTTATTATGTTGAAATCCTTCCACAAACAGATTGAAACTCAATTCTCTACCAAAATTCGCATCCGTCGCTATGACAATAGAGGAGAACATGTCAATCATGACTTTCAGAAGTATTTTCATACATACGACATTCTCCATGAAACGACTTGTCCTCAAACTTCGCAACAGAATGGTGTTGCTAAATGAAAGAATCGTCTTCTCCTCGAAACAGCATGCGCACTCTTGATTGGGGCTGATGTTCCTTGCCACTACTTGGATGATGCTATCGTCACTGCTGTTTATTTGCTCAACCGAATGCCTTCTCGTGTATTTATTTGATGATTCTATTGGATACCAAGCAAAATGGTGGAAAAAAATCAAACCGATATTCTCCTGATATTAGGAAGACATTGAAGTACCCAATTGTCAATCATGTGTCCACTCAAAGATTGCCTAAACCATTGAAGGCGTTTATGCATCAGTTGTCTACTATTGTCATTCCCACTAAGGTGACTGAAGCATTGAAAGATCCAAAGTAGATCGAAGCAATAAAAGAAGAAATGAAGGCTCTGGTGAAAATCAGACATGGACACTAGAGATATTACCACTAGGAAAAAGAACAGTTGGATGCTGATGGGTGTTTACTATCAAACACAATGTCGATGGGTCCGTTGAAAGATACAAGGCTAGACTTGGGGCGAAAAGGTACACATAGACCTATGACAATCATAGTTCTACTATCTCTCACAGCTAACCTAGATTGGTCACTCCATCAGTTTGATGTAAAAAATGCTTTGTTACATGGTGAACTCACAAAAGTAGTGTACATGGACATTCCACTAGGATATACAAGATCTACTCAGACAAGTGTGGTGTGCAAGTTGTGAAAAGCACTATATGGTTTGAAATAGTCGCCACATGCATGCTTTGGACAATTCACGTTGGCAATGAGGAATTATGGGTCTAAGCATAGCAATTCAGGTCATACTTTGTTCTTGAAATATCATAAAGGAAAGGTAAAATCTTTAATAATCTATATTGATGATATTATTATTACTTGGAGTGATGAACAGTAAATATCTCAGATGTAAGACTATTTAGCTATTGAATTTGGGATGAAGAATCTAAGAGGACTCA